CTTTGCACTTGTCAGGCAAATACTTACTCTACTGAGCTATCTCCCTGACCTACTGAGCCAGCTCCTTGGCCTAATATAGGCAGACTTTTTTTTTTTTTTTTTTTGTATTTAGTACAGGGTCTCACTACATAGATCGGACTCATAGCAATCCTCCTGGTCCCAAGGTACAAACCACCACACCTAGTCACAAGCTACCTCTCAGCGCTCTCCAGGGGCAGGACCAGCAGGGCAGGCCCAGGAATTGAACCCCCCGGCCCCTGCATCTGCCTAAACAGGTGTTTTAATCCACTAAGCTATTTGGCTGGCCCCTACGTATATATCCATGATAACATTTAATTTATAGTCCCAGTAGACAACAGGATTGTAAAATGGAGCAATTATACTAATATATTATAGTAAATTAGGTGAATGTCATCTCTCTCAAGATACAGTACTGTGCTCACCTTTCTTGTGATGATGTGAGATGATCCTGTGCCTACACCATGAGGTGAAGTGAGGACAATGATGTGGGCACTGTGTAGCTTCAGGCCCCTATGTAAGCGTCGCTTAAACACAACCACTGTGATAGCAAAACTATCTCATGAGTAAATGGCTAACAGCTGTGTTGCACCGCACAGAAAGATGATTTACAGAGCTGGACTGCAAGATCTGATCACACTGCTTGGCACGATTCACAACTGAAAACTCACAAATTGCTTATCTCTGGAATTTTACATTATTTTTAGGTCACTGTGACCTTTGGTAACTGAAACCTTGGAAAACAAAACTATATCCATATTTGCTTTGTATTTTATTGGTAAAAGTGACAAAAATTGGAAACAGGACTGTGTAGGAAGTGTAGTGGAAGTATAAATTATTACATATTTTGGAGAACAGTTTGTATATTATTTACTTAGCCAGTCATTAGATAGTAAGCTATTCTACAAATATGCAGAATGCACGAAAATGTCTTGTTTATGTTTTTGGCAAATATGTTTTTCTAGCAAAACATTTGAAGAAACACATGTCAGTGTGACTAATTTAAAAAATTGTACAACCTTAAAATGGAACCCTGTGTAGCTGTTTGGAAGGATGTGGTTGCTCCATGTGTGTTGACATAAAAGGATGTAAAATATATAAAGTTAGGTAAAAAAAATGTGTTGTAGCTGGGTGTGGTAGTGCACACCTGTAATCTCAGCACTACAGAAGGCTGAGGCAGGAGGATCAAAAATTCTAGTCCAGTTGGACAACTTAGTGAGACATGGTCTTAAAATGAAAACTTGGAAAAGAAGTGCCGGAGGTGTTACTTAGCGTAAAGGCCCTGAGTTCGAGCCCCAGTACAGCAAAAGAAGAAAAAAGTATTGCTGAATAAAACACATGTAGTATAAGATCCTGGGGCCAGGGAGATGGCTCAGTAGAATAAGCGCTTCCCTGCAAGTGCAAAGGTCTGAGTTCAATCCCCAGTGCCACCAAAAAAAACCAAACCAAAACAAAACAAAATATAAGATCCTATTTCAGAAGGGTTTTTTTTTGTTTTTTTTTTTGCTCCGAATGCCTTCAGGGCAGGTTTGGCTGGCTTGAGTTGTGGGGATCGAACCACAGCAACCTGAGCCTGACTGCTTTGTTGAAGCAGCCACTTAAAGAACTGAGCTAAGGGGCAGGCCCCCATA